ATAATAACTAATCTGTATCCAATGGTCTTGTACATGTGTCATCTCTTTGTTCCTTCTTGACAAACCCTGTTGTTTCCCTTTGCCTTTATCCTGTCTGTGTAATATGAATTTCAAGTCTCTTCTGAGACTGTAGCGCTTTGGGGTCCTGCACAGCAGCTGGCACACATCTGACACCCAACCTGCACAGGTAAGAAGCATAGATGACCCGTTATCACAAACAGGGATGTATTGTTGCAACCTACAATTTTCCGTAAGTTGGATGTGATTGTGTGCTGTACAGAATTATAGATGCCTCCCAACTAATAAGAATAAATCACTGCATCTCTTCTCAGTAAATGCTCGGAAGAAATCACTCTTCCTCAGACATATGCCATGAGGTGCCAGTTATCATAGGCAGGCAAGTGAGGAGGAGAAGATCTGACATCTTAATGGGTTTGCCCTTCAGACCCTTGTAGGGAAGAAGGAGAGAGAAAAGTGGAAGGAAAGCCGTTTATCCTCCAGAGAAAGACCCCTGATTTGGATTTAGCTTGTGAGCCCGGGGTAAGTGGAATACATTAAGCAATTTTATTTGAATTATGGGTGGGTGGCAATCTGTGTTAGTGCACTCTGCTTAAGAGAAGCAACACTGAACAAGGAAGGAGCTTTCAATTCCCATGGAAGAGACCATACTCAAGTCCGATGAGGGGTTCAATTATGGGACGACGAACAAGAAAGAGATTGTCTTGACTGAGGCTGCCACCTTCCGAGAATACTAGAACTTTAAGTTTTGCTGGTTCCAGAAGTTAAAAAATATTGGGTGACTAAACACACACACTCGGTTGTGTCTACAGCAGGGGTGGATAAGATGGTGTTCTTCAGATGTTGTAGGATGCCAGCTTCCATCAGCCCCAGAAAGGATGGCTAATGGTCTGAGATTATGGGAGCTGTATCTGATAACATCTGGATGGCACATTGGCTACCCCTAGAAATGGGCCCTGACCAAAGCTCTGCTTGTACGTAACAACTAGAAGACCCAAAAAGGGGTGCACACCCTTATTCACATCAAAATATGCATTCAGCAAGTATAGTGATGCCAACTTATGGTGGCAATGCATAGGTTTCAGCTGCAGCTGCTACATGAAGATATTCCTTGCCAGAGATTCTAACCACCTCATTCCAGATGGGATTTATTATATGCAACATAGTCTTTAGGGTGAAAGAGAAAGAATAAAATTCTTTTATTCAACTGTGAAATTAAATGTGGATTAGATCTGATCTGAACTGATCTGTCAGCAGATTCGAGGCGTCATGTGAATTGCTCTTATTGCTTAAACTATCTAACGCTTGCATATACGAAATCTGTCCTAAGAGTAAAGAGAAGGGCACTTTTTAAAGCGGGTTAAAAAATCATAATGCCAGATTATTTCTGTGTCTTCCAGGTAGCTGTGGAATTCAGGGGGAAAACAACAAAACACGTATTGGCAGAGACAGTTATTTCCCTCCCCCTCCCCATGACTCACCGAGTATAATCCATTGCAGAGTTTAGGAGTACATTGGGGCCCCTTTAGAAAGGATGATTATGACAATGATTACCAAGAGGTCCCTGAGAAGTGTAAAAAAAATCATGCTGATTAGCTTCCAGCAGTGCCATCCAGCCTTTGCAAAAGAGCCTGAAGTGAAATGAGAGGGATTGTCCATTGCTGTGTGTTAAGGGGAAGAATTCAAATTGAGCATCACGCTGGGCAAGCACATCGAAAACAAATACCTGTGACAAAGGCTCCCTGCAGAGTGGCTGCATACATCAGATGCAGTGCTTCCCTGTACACAAACTCTGTGATGGAGTTAAGGTCCATTTTGAAACTGGTTTTAATTGTGAGTATCAATGTGTTTGTTTTGCAACAATGGCAGCAGACTCCGCTGGTGGAGCAGCTGTAGAGAGCAAAATGCCAAAGGAAATAACAATTTAGCCTGTGATCCTTTAGGTTGGAGCCCTTGTGCCGAGACAGATGCAGGATTTTTCCTGTTTGAAGAGCAAGCAAAAACATACTGCTGTGGTCTTATTAATTAAACTCAGAAATATCAGCAAAGCCAGTTTGGTCACGTGACCTTCAGCTGTTCCCATAAGTTTCTGCTATTGAGGCAACTGAGAGAGACAACCCTCTTCTCAGTCAGTTGGAGGAGTTGATTTCTTCCCTCTGAATCCTGGCATTGCACCGAGGAGCTCAGGAAGGTGCTTTGTGCAAGACACAGAAGCCCTGTACAGGCATTATTGCTCCTGTGCTCATCTGGACAGGAACAGGAAGTCATCCAGTCACCCCGGTTTCTAATCTTCACATGGAGCATTACCATTTGTAATGGTGGAGCCTTCAAGCACACAGCTGTACGCATGAAGCCTCTATAGCGACAGTCATGCTGTTCACATGAAGACAAGAAGGTGGCACTGTTTGGTACATCCACACTCCCATGTTGATGAGCATAGGAGCACAAATGTATGGTTTGGGCTAGTGGCAGACCTGACTTTGCTACCAAGTGTACACTCAACATGGAGCTTCAGCCAGTTATAATCCCCTGAAAAGTGTTTACTTTACAAATGTGCCTTTGTGGCATCTGTACTTTACAGCTTTAGTGTACACTTCAAACATCCTTTGTAAGCAAGAATTGTCCTGAAAGGCAGTTAAAACTGAACAGATTGGTATGAAAAGAAGTAGTGGCATGTGAACTGCACCCATTCAGAATACAGAGAAGTCATATTTGAAATCACTGCAACTGAAATAGCAGAATATCAGGGACAGGGATGAAATACATGTGTTAATTGTCTACCGGCAGGGAACACAAGTTGTAGTAGTTTATACAATTGATTACAGCCCCGCTCCCAATTTGCCTTGAAATGACTGGGGTAGAATAGCATAATGACCATGTGATTTGCATAATTAATTACATAAATGACACAAGTTTCATAATTTTACCACAGCAGACAGTGAGACAAATAATGTAGGTTTTGGTGGAAGACAAACTGCAGCAGAAGGTAAACAGTGCTGCGCGTGACCAATACAGGGCAGGGCAGAAAACAATGCCTTCGTACATCCCTAGTCCGAGCATACACTCAAAAATCTATACACCATTTCTGATCTTGCCACTCTTTTCCAAAGGAATACCAGAAATGTACCAATACACCTAGTATTAAGTTTTCATAAACAGAAAAGTGTGTAAACAGGTAATCAGAAAAAGGAAAGACGAAAGACAAATGTACTATATGAAATTCTAAGAACAGCGATGACTGATAGCAGGCTCTACTCTGGGTACCACATTGTACTACATTTTGTTTCATTATACGTTGGATAGCTCAATGAAAACATCAGTGTGGTGTGCAGCCAGCAGTAAGTCTATGTTAGGGATTATAAAGTAGAAGGCTAAAAATAAAAGTAGCCTGAAGGGTAAAATGCCTTTCTATAAATCTATGGTGCAGTTATATTTGGAATGCTATGTACAGTTCTGGTCACCCCATCTATAAAAGGGCATCTTAAGAGACAGAAAAGACAGAAAAAGGCAACCAGATCATCAAGGGCTTGTGGCACATTCCTTAAGAGACAGGAATGGCTTACCCCCAGGATGTGGACCTTATTCCACACACACACACACACACACACACACACATTTCTGGTTTCCATAACCTACCAGTTTTGCTAGCAGCATCAGCAAAACTAAAAATATAGTATAACAGGCATGCATACCTCTCCACTCACCCCTGCCCCATGATACAGATGGGTTGTTCATTTGCTTAAGGGGGAGTGATAATCCCCTTCCTCATCTGATCATTCTGATCTGTAGGATGAGACTGTGTGCTTGTTTGGGGGGGTATGTAAGAGTGTGCAATAGTTTCAGGTGGCCACACACGGAACTGGCATTGGTTGGCCAAGGGTGACTACAACTTTCGGGCAAAATAAGAAAAAAAAGATTAGCCACCCCTAGTGGGGTGTCTGTGTTTTAAACATGCTTTAAATGCATCGTGTGTACATAGTCTATGAGAGAAGCCAACCACATATTCTCAAGTGTGACAAAACGGGAGTGACTTAGCCTTGAAAACAAATGGGTACCACTCAGCCTTGAAAACAAATGCTGCCAAATCCAGAAAAATGTGCCTTGACGCCCATTCAACCACACTTTAAAACAGCCTTCCACTTTCCGCCAGTGCCCTCCTGATGAGTTTTCACTACAATTTCTATCAACCAACACATCCAGCGGTTAGAAATTTGGGGAGTTATAGTCCAAAATGTTGGGAAAGCACAAGGTTGGGGAAAGCTGCCTTAAAGGTCCTCACTCTAATTGCCTAAGGTTCTTCCAATAAAAGTAAACTATCAGAGGGAAATGGCATCCACGTCTACGGGTGATAGGCTGAGTTGAAAAACTGTGGTGCTGTTGGTTTGTCAAGCTTCCTAGAACAGCTCTGAGGTGCTTTACAAAATTGCATGGCTGAAGTTACTCTGAATGTTCTGTGAAGGAATACCCTATAAATACAAATGAATGTACCTTCCTTTTTCAAGCAGGCTGATAACCTCCATGTGGTTCGGATATTAACTGGTCCTCTTACACACCCTTGCAAGGACAGAAAGCTATGCCATATAGGCTGTGCATGTATGTGAGCTTGTTGCCCCCTAGTGGCTCTGCTACAGAAGTTGCAAACAGAACTACTCTCTGTGGTTCCTGAAGTCTGGGGCCAAAAAGAGTCTCTTTCATTTTGAGGGCTTTTCCACACCAAGGAGGCTAATTGTAACCATCTTGGTCATCAATCCCACCTTGAAGCCATTTTCCATTGTGAAAACAACCATCATAGTGCAGCTTTCCAGTATTTCTTATGGTTATTTTTCTTTCTAAAAAAAGGTGAATATTTGCCACAATATGGCTTCCTCAAGACTGTTCAGCTATCCATAGCCTTTCATTCCTTAACTGGAAGAATATCATTGGTGTACAGTCGCAAGGAGAAAATAATGCTTCTCATCGTTAGTTAGATAATTATAACCTACCTTTCTTCTACTTTGGAACTCAAGATGGCCTACATGGGATTCCAAGGTAGGCTTCCATCAAGTCAGTTCCCAGGTCTGTTTAGTTTTAGCAAAGTAGCTGTGTGCCCTTAGACCATGGTCTGGGGCTGAGCACCCTCAAGACTCTCTGTGCCATAATGACGAAAGGCACAGGTCATTCTTACAGTATAACAATGTGGAGGTTAGCAGTTTAGATCTTGAGTGTGTTAGATCAGTGGTTCCCAATTACTGAGGACCCCCTATTTTTCAAAAGCCAAGCCATGGACCCCCTACTTTTGAAAATTTTGATAACTCTATGGTAGTTACCTCTGCAAACCAATTTTTTGAATTGGCTTGAATTGGCTTTGAAAAGCAATTGATTTTAGGTATACTAAAAAAACAGGCCATAAAATTTGTGATTTTACCATGCAAAAATTACAAAAAAATAGTTGGGGGGGAGGCAAGGGATAGGGCCACGGACCCCCTGGGTGCATTCTGTGGCCCCCCGGGGGTCCCCGGACCCCTAATTGGGAACCACTGTGTTAGGTGTTTTCATTGTTCTCAGACACATACAAATGTTTTAATGCTCTGAGTAGCTGTGCAGGGCAGTAGAGAATACTTGTACTATGAGCTCTAAAGAGTGTAGTGCAAGCATGATGCAGTATTAACAGTGCCAGCAGGTAAATCAAGATTAAAATCCTTGCTGACCTGGGCTCAGTAACACTCTCTCATTCATAGGCTTGCTGTGAGTATAAATTTAGAGCAACCCCTCTAAATGCTGCCCTGAGAGCCTTGCAGCATACAAAGGGAAAAAAATATTTCTCTTGCTTAAAATATTTTTCCATTGTAAAGTGGAAAATGAAAATTTGTTCCATTAGAAATGTATATTTCTCCCTCCAAACCATGTCAAGTTTACATGGTCACCTACTGATTATTGACTGTCTTTTTATGCACACACCTCCTGCTATATCTTTTTTTCATTACTCTGGTCCACACTGATAACTAATTTCATTCATTTGTACATTTCTGATGCCTGTTTGTTATATACTTTCCTTGCCTACAGCAAAGCTTGCTCATGAATTCATCTGCAACTTCATACACTTCCGTGCTAATCAGAGAAAGTGTTCGTTTCCTAGGCTAGGAAAAGGGATCTCAAATTACATATTTAAAGATGCGTCTCAGCTCAGGGAGAATTAAAATCCCCCATTACCTTTAAAGGAGGCCAACACAACAACTAATAGCTACAACTAAATTCATTCACATCGTTAGTATTCAAGACTGTCCTTTGAACTCCGTCCTTTTGCTTACCAGGCTCACAGCTTGACCTTCCCAAGTCATTGGAATGGATGGATTTTATGGCTTTAGAAACAGCTTTTCATTCTTCTGTGTTCCTGTTGATAACAACCAAGTACAAGATTGGATTTCTCAACCCACAGGTGAAATATTGAAAAGAAATAATCATTTTAACCACCACTGTTTACTGGTGTTAAATAGACAATATTGTTTCTCCATAAGTCAGGGCCCAATGCAGACCTTTAGATGTATTGGCTTAAACAGAAAACACTTTTATCAGATTTAACTATTAGAATGATAATTGCATACATCTACTTCTAATTATTTTTTAGGGAAATCAATGATCAAGCTATTGCAATCTGGTAAAAATCTACATCTTTGCTCACAAAATCTTTCAGAAGAAAATAAATATTTACAGCATCCTCTAATATTCAAATCTCAGCATTTCAGATCTGTTGTTTTCATTAAGTGCTTCATCGTTTCACGGTTCAATAACATCTTTTGCCGCTTTATCCAGGCAATCAATGCTAACTGACTGTTTTTGCAGTATTCAAGTCCAAAAAATCAGTTACAATCCTCAGGCTACAATGCAAACTCTCTTTGCACCAGACTGGGCAGGTGGAGGGAGCTGGGTTGGGTGGATGTATCCCTTCACTGGCTGCCACTGGTGATGAGCTCCCCTGACACCCACCAAGAGGTCCAGAAGAAGTACTGCTTGACAGGATACCTTCCAACAGTAGCCCACAGAAGAATCTAAAACAGGGAATTCTGGGGGCTTAAGGGAGAGGGAGTAAGCCAGAAGGCAAGGGGCCTTCTCAGGAGTTGCACTCACCCTATGGAACGCCCTCCCATCAGATGTCAAGGAAATAAACAACTATCTGGCTTTTAGAAGACATCTGAAGGCAGCCCTGTATTGGGAAGTTTTTAGTGTTTGCTATTTTGCTACGTTTGAATGCAATGCAGCTGCTGGTGAGGCAGTGGCTTAGCTGCTCTGTTACCCTCTGCCAGCAGCTGGCCAGAGTTTGGACATTAGAAAACAGTAGGACTCTTGCATTTACCAATAAAATGTTGCACACAACAAGCTATTTTGTGAATATCCAGGCTTGCCTTCTCTTCCTTGAAGGATCTCTCTTTGACTGCAGTTTTAACATCCTGGCACAACCGCCTGCAATGCAGGAATCTCAGCTAGCTAAAGCATCCATGGCAGATGACCACCTGACCTCCACTTAAAAACCTCCAAGGAAGGAGAGTCCACAACCTCCCGAGGGGAACTGTTCCACTGTTGAACAGTTCTTACTGTCAGAAAGTTCTTCCTGATATTTAGTTGGACTCTCCTGTCTTGTAACTGAATTCCATTGGTTTGGATCCTACCCTGAAGAGCAGGAGAAAACAAGCTTGCTCCATGTGCCATGTGCCAGCCCTTTCGGTATTTGTAGATGGCTATCATATCTCCTCTGGGTCTCCTCTTTTCCAGGCTAAACATACTAAACATCATTTAATAGCTCTGCAATACAACAGCACACAACCAAAAGGTATCACACTGGCTGTTCATGCCATGTCAGACTGCTAAATCAAATATCCAAATTCATGGATATTTGGATTCATGAGTGAGCTCACAGATGCCAACATTGAGTTTTGAGAGAAGAACATTAGAAGGCAGGAAGGTTTGGTCACTGGGGTAAGAGTTAGAATCAGCTGATAACTCCCAAGCAACAACAGCATTTTATTGGTGGCTTCTGCACAGTTAAATGTGCAAAAAGCACTGGTCTATGGCATATGAAAGAATAACACGTTTAATGAGTTTTCACTATGCCAAATTACTTTAGTCTTGTCCTGCCCAGTTCACCCGGTTGCACCTAAGTGGATCTGATTTCCAATCAGAAAGCAAATGAGCACTTGACCTATATATTTCCTTTCATATTTATCCACACCCCAACTTCTGTTTTCAATGACTGCACAAGAACAATTCCTGTGGGGGTCTCCATTCATTTCAAAGAAACATAACTAGCAACAAACTCAGTGTAACATGGAATGGAGAGTTCTGCTCTTCCGTTATAAAGGATGGAGAAATAATACACACCTGAGCTTCAGGGTTCAGAATATTGGTTTGGAAAAGTATTTTAAATAATAGGTTTACCTGGAGAAAGTAAATTGATGTAATTGCCATGTTAGCTTCCCCTCATGCAATATTCTGAGAATCTATAAATATACCAGCATAAATTCTGATCCGACACAGACCAGAGTAACACTACTCATATCAGTGGAGGTCTCTTGGATTTACACCACTTTCAGAAAGTAGCTTTTCTGTATTTAGCTTTAATTTAAAAATAAATGAATTTTCCACAACACTGACAGTATTGACCTTGCATATTATCCAAATAGAAATTTTTAATGAAACAAGAATAACACAAGAGTACATTTATAATAGATATGCAAATATTGGTCTTTTCTTAAAGGTCTCCCCATCTACACTCATGGGGCTTGCTTGCCTTACGTGGGAGGTGAACCCAGTGTGCATTTATTAAAGTGACAGCAAAAAAAGGAGTTCATAGCTACAGTCAGAACATCAATTAGATTTTATTTATGAAAAAAGAAACGAAACATTACAAAAGAATTCTGCTTCTGGAGCTCTCTGTCTAAGAGAGATCATATATTAATTTGTCTCCTTCCTCCTCAGCCCAGTTTTAACTGCTGTCATTCCAAAGCAAATCCCTACCTTGGGTGGACAGATTAAAAACAACAACATATAGCCCTTCTACATTCTATAAGAATGTAGTGGTACCTCGGGTTACAAACTTAATTCATTCCAGAGGTCCGTTCTTAACCTGAAACTGTTCTAAACCTGAGGTACCACTTTAGCTAATGGGGCCTCCTGCTGCTGCCGTGCTGCCACCGCGCGATTTCCGTTCTCACCCTGTGGCAAAGTTCATAACCCGAGGTACTACTTCCGGGTTAGCAGAGTTTGTAACCTGTAGCGTCTGTAACCTGAGGTGTTTGTAACCCAAGGTACCACTGTATGTGTCTTTATCATCTGTTGTCAAGCATAATTAACATTCTATGTGCATGAGTAGGCTGGTTTACCAGGGATTGGTGGGGGGAGGGGCAGTGCAAGCATAAATAAATAAATAAATAATCTAACTTCCCGTGTAAGCTTTGTGGTAGCAAATTAGGATGAATGTTCAATAAACAGGTCCTCTGGAGGAGCCTTTTCTATTTAAAAGTGAATTTGTTGTGCTAGGGCATGACTCCCTCCGGCAAAATACTTTGAGTCTGGAAGCACCCTTGGGAGAAATGCTAGTGTAGAATTAGCAACCGTTCTCTCCAAATGTTCAAATGGCAATGGATGTATTTGCTTCTGCCCTGTTTTCCAACACCTACATTCCACCCCCCACCCCCCAAGAAGTAACCATCAGGGTCATCAGGGGTTAGCATTGTGAGGTGTCTGCAGAGGCCCACACCCTAGCCCTACCCACTGCTGATCACTACTAACTCAACCTTGATGGCAACCATCAGGCCCAGACAAACAGGGGAAAGGACATGGTGCTTTAAATTGCAGGCGTGTGCCTAGAAACACGACACAAAAGGTAATCCAGATGTGCCCTAAATTACTCATGATGACCACATATTTTCTTAGGGGAGGGGATGCAGCTCAATGTCAGAGCACCTGCCTTGAATGCAGAAAGTACCAGGTTCAATCTCTAACACCTCCACATGAGACTGGAAGCATCTCCAGTCTGTGACCTCAGAGAGCTTCTGCCAATCAGTGTAAACAATACTCAGCTCCATGGACCAATGGTATAAAGGCAGCTAGCTCCCCATGTTCCTTAGCCCCACCAGCTTTCCTGACTGGTTGCCTTTGGTGACTAATTCCATTCTTTCTTTTCTCTTATACCTCTGCTTTGCTGTGTCTGTGTGCGTACACACTTAGATGTGCTCAAGCGATTAGCCTTGGGAATATTATGGTTTATATATTGAGTGGACATAATTGATTTGTTCTCAGATTATTTAATGGCAGCAGGTGGCAGCTCCCTAGCAAAGAACGGTACGCCGGCGACAAATTACTTTCTCATATGTTATGCTTGTTTCCTTCATTATGGAATGTACTTAAATGCAGCAAGGCAAAGTCAGATGAGGAAGCCGCAATTGATTTCATATACATTTGCCATGACCCTGTGACAGATTTTGTGAGCTGGTCTAGAGAATGGCCCATGACCAGCAAGGATGATTTTTGTAGTTTAAGAATACCAGGAGGGCCTCAGTTCCCCAGCCTGAATTTAGGATGTTGATTCTACACCCTCACCACACAGACAAATCTTCTTACCTGCCTGACATTAGTAAGGCTCTGTGCTGGCTGAAGCTGACGGGAATTGGAGTCTAACAATATTTGGAGGTCTACAAGTTCCCCATCCGTGTTGTAGATTATGTGTATTAGCATACCCCTTAACTGTCCTGGGGAAAAGAGACATCCTGTTTTTCCCTGCAAGAGCACAATGGCCATTTTGGACACCGTGCTCTCATACAGTTTGGGGACATGATCTTGCCCTGAAAAATAGCTCTTTGGGAGCCACCATCTTGTGTGCCACCCCCAAATGCACATTTTGGGGCTGCCATGCTTGGGAAAAAAATTTTTTCTCCAGGGCCACAATCTTGCACAGATCAAGTGACTCACATGGAAGTGCAGCCCCAGAAGATGGTTTTTCCATTCATCGCATTGGAGGGTATGCATCAGGTATTATCTGCAAATATTAGAAGAAGTTAGTCTCACTGTGTACCATGCCAATGGGTTAGGTGTGGGGAAAGCGCAAGCAGATTCAGAGAGAGGGGTCAGTATCCTGTACCCACTAATCACCAATCCAAACAGTAGCTAGAAAAGAGTTAAATTCATTCTCAGTCTTCCTTCCTCTGAGCTCTCTCTGGCATTTCCAAATCTGCTTCAGGCAGTTGGGGAGGTAGGGATTGCTATAAAACAATTGCAGCAAACAGCATTGAAAAAAGGAGAGCATTTGCACATTTAAGGAGCTTGGGGAAATACCGTTCCTTGCTCCTGTGAAAATACTACATTTGATCCGAACATCGAAATGAGTGAACGTTCTGTACA